TCCATATTGTTGTTTTTTCACGGTCCACTCAACATATATAAGGATAGAACACAACGGACACAGTCTACACCACACAAGATTCAGTCCTCACAACACACGTAGTCCACAGACTCAATACAACGGCCGACGCTCGGCCGACGACGCTCGTCACTTCACACAGCACCTTGACTTGAGTCACTTAAACCTACGCACGACCCATTGTGCGGGAAAAGTCACACCAAACTTACGCATAACTCACTGTGCTGGAAAAGTCTGGGCTCAATATAGTGTGACTAAAATTTGGGAAAATTCGCAAGCCGAAGAAACACGCGTTTTGTCCATCGAACTCTTTAAAATTTATGGTTCCAGGGAGTTTGTGCGACCAAGTGGCATATGTACCAACACGCAGACAACATTAAAACCACATCACGATGTAGCTGCTGGAGGCATTTTTCACCAAAAAGTAGCATGGAATATAATTCGAATGCCACCCTTAAATGTGCTGACAATCTCCCATCGTATATAAATTTGTTTGATGCTGGTGCACTTATTCAGGGAAGAATCGACTTCAACTGCGGTCCGAACTCAGTCGCGTAAGTGTTTGATGCTAGAATACCGCCGTCATCTGGATAAGCCAGTTTAGCCCTGTGATTCGGTCATCTGCTGGTTGCTCATGTGCTGACAAATGTGAGCCCAGTCCAATTTCACCATCGAATCCTTCCGAATCAACTTATCTTCTGATTCTTCTACCTCCGTTCCTCGTCATGTGTAGACAGTACACTGGATTTGCCACCACTACTCAATCCTAAACTTATGATTTATGGGCTCCACTGGACAAACAACAAATAGAACCTGTTGGATGATTTCCTACTAATCTTTGTTAATTACAGGAGAATGGGAATTGGAACTCTTAATGAAGTTCCTTTGATCGACATACCACCATTCCAGAGCAAACTGAGGAAGTACTGATGATAAGTGGAACCTGATTCGTGGTTTTTACTTTCATATAGGCTAGCCAGAAGACACATGGGACAGATGCTCACTTTTCAAAGGGCATTGTTTCAAATATCGATGTAACGAACCCTGTTAATTGCGTAAGAAACCAAAATTCTGCATGTATTGATGGTGAAGATTTTCCCCTGAAATCTTGTACATCGGGGATGAAATTGTGTATCCAAGGCTTGGGGGAATTCAAAATCGGTCGGAGGAGTTAAGTACCTACGTATTGTGGCGATACTGTGGTGGAGGCTAATAGTGAGGCGCAAAATTTCGGTTGTTTTAGTTTCTGTACGAAATAGTCGAAAGAGGATGTAAGGCAACATGAAGAATTGCTCTCAGAAACAAACATCATACTAGGTCCTCTAGAGTAATCAGTGATGAATTTATATGAAGTAGTGCACCTTTACTTTCCTGAGTATTAATTCAGCCGTAAGTGATACCATGTTCACCTCTCATGGTTACTTGCACCAGATTTCAAGTATTTTCTAAGTTTTCAGCATGGCGCTCTTGGCGGGAAGCAATCTGGTTTCGTGGTCAAAATTGAGGGTCACATCTGGGTTCGTCATACCCAGTAACTATGGTACTGCAAGTTGAGAACATATTTCATGTCCTCTTTTCTACTCGTTCGGGCATCCTCTAACTTTGACTACTGTCTCATTAACCGTTTCCTCTGGTAGTCTGATGTTAAGTAATTTTTCCGTCCTATATTGTACCGTTGCACTCGACTGGCAGTCTCCATCTCTGGATGGGAACCACAGCCGTACACAGCCCAGCCTTCTAAACTGACATGGTTAGCACTTAGTAATCACTCGCCGATTATCAACGTTCCCAGCATCCGAATAGATGTACACCGAAATCAGTTGTCCCTGTTAACGTTGATTCTTTATCGCATTTCAGTCAATGGTTTGGCCCTGAAATACCTAAATAACTACCCGATTCCTGTGGATACTACATAGCCTCGAGCACTATGACTCATTTTAACTTTGGTGATACACACTTAGGGTCGCATCAGGTGGATTATAATCATCCGGAAAACCCGTTTATGCACCGTGTGTTGGGTCGAATAATTTGCAGATCCCACTGAATATTTCTTAGTTCCACACGCTGTCCGTCTATGTCTATTGCACTGATGCTCACAGATTTGGAAAATTCTTTAGTTACCACCTTCAGTGAGGACATACCGATTTTGAACCAAGTCCTACCCCAGGTTATTCCACTTCTCCTTGCGAAGACATTTCATTGCCATGGGTTCCTTGAGTCAGGAGCATCAGGACTTACGCCTGATGCATCACCGCCGCTGACGATGACCAAAGTCCGTTCACTAATCCCATTTGGATTGACTTTACCTTACGAAGAGGCCAAAGCCGAATGGTTGTCCAATACCTGGATTCCATGGATTTCTGAAAACTTGTTAGCTGGTTCCATCGCTGCAGTTATATCCGGCCACGTCAAAACCACTACAAGACCTACTGGCACAACCGTTTGCTGATACAATGAAACAAATAATTAGATTTGTACCAGAATGCCTTGAACTTAGGAACGAAGACATGGACGAATGATTTGAACGAAACAATCAGATTGGGGCATATTTTGGAAAACGAATGAAATGCCTTGGAAATTGTTATCTCCGTGTTTTATGGATTTTGCTGATACAACAAATAATTAGATTTGCACCAGAATGCCTTGAACTTAGGAACGAAGACATGGACGAATGATTTGAACGAAACAATCAGATTGGGGCATATTTTGGAAAACGAATGAAATGCCTTGGAAATTGTTATCTCCGTGTTTTATGGATGAGAATTAGTCTTATCAACAAGTCTTCGCTGGCCTTATTTTACCCCTCCATGGACAGTGTCATGGTGATTGCCAAATGTACGGAATACAGTGAGTAGTTCGTAAGGTAAACTTCGCTAGTTCTAACACAGAAACATTGCAATGTGTCAGTGCGATACTTTGATATGTCTATTAATCGCGGACTTGGCTGAAATGTTAAGTATACTGGTTGGCTGAGGCGAATATAGGTATTCGTGATGTCCTACACGGTTAAACTACAAGAAGCAAACTGGACATATTCATCAAACAATATCATCCGGGTACTGGAACCGCTTCGAAGGATATTGAAAGAGAATAATATTCTTGATCTTTATTAAGGAATATGCGTTGTCGGCGTATACATGAAACCCATCTACACAGGGATACTTCCCAAGACAGTTACAGTTACGAAAAGAAAACGAACCTTTCGCAACACAGATAAAGCAGACAATGCAGACAGAGTTCGCATTCCAAGCAGGACAGTGAGAGTACCGCTAACCTAACTCAAAAGAAGTTCTGTTCCACTAGCAGTTTGCACTACCTGGTCTACCAGCTGCTTTGTTCTCAGTCTTTTATTCACACACTTGGGAGCCTGTTGCTTCACATTGCACACGTGGACCGCAATAAATTTCGCTCAAATTTACGGTCATACACCTCGATAACCGGATCCCCTCGATACGACCAACGCGCAGTAATTCCTAGTGGGATCCTAACGACCTTATTCTTCGACACATACGGCCATGAAATGCCTGCGTCCACCAATCTGAAACTATTCAAATGCGACCTCGCACCACAATGACAAATTTTGTTATCTACGGAGGGAAATGTTGGTAGCTCAGGTAGGGCAGATGGTCGTTAGCTTGCTCGCCGAGCTGGGTTGCAATCGAATTGCCCAGCTCAGCGAAAAAGCCGATTAAAGCCTTCCCAAAGCGAGTGTCAGATGCTCACTTTTTCGGTGTCCAGGGATTTCACCACCCAGTGTATTCGCGTGTCCCACACAAAAAAGCCCTGAAAAGACAAATTCCATACTGTACGGAAAATCCCGCCACATACGGAATGAATCAATGACATTTTTTATCCTAATTGTATAAGTTTTGGTTCGAGATCTTGTTTAATTCACAGCAGGGAGTAATGCCATTGTTACCACACTAAATAACATGCACCAGTAAGCTGCGTTTTTCTGATGCATTTCCTGAATTCGCTGATGATGGCAGTGAATGCACCACAGTGACAGGTGTTTGGAAACTGCCATGACACCGTTTATTTGCGGCTTGTCACAGCCCATTGCGGCATGGTCGGGAAACTACTGATTCCAAGGGTAAATCAGTTTCCATATTTTGTAGGCTAATAGGCTGCTCGTCATCCTTATGTCGACTCAACCAACATTAAACAAACACCACAACGATAGATCTAATCAAAAAGATCCGACCGGCTGGACAGCGCCTTTTCATGTATGAGATGGATTTGAGTTTACCCTGATTCAGCCTACAGATAGCAGGCAGAATCATACGAAATATGTCCAAAAAACCATGTCAACTGCCACTTTCCAAGGTAAACATCGTGGTCCGTTGTTAGCTATGTGAATCTGTATTGGTACGGTGAGTTCAGCCGACAGACTGACTCCATAGTCAATACTAGACATCAAAACCATCATCGTAGACAAACGATTAAAGGTGGTCATGTCAGTCTTCACGTTTCCTGATTTCTTGTGGAAAGTATCTTTGTGGATGAATAGGACGAAATGAACCTAGTCCCCTCTGGGTGGATGGTAATTTGCCTATCAATTTAAAGGTAAGGCTCACTGCGGTGTGGTGAAATGATCCCTTTTAAGGTGGGGAAATTAGGAGCCGACTACTCAAACTTTGATAGCAAAGATAACGAGCTGCAAAGTAACCATATCAGAAAAGAACCGCACAATCACATCAGAAATGCAAATTCCAAGAACATTTTAGTTTTAGGTGATCCATAACTGGACCAAATGAACCTGCAAGGCAAAGGACTGCACAGCTATTTCATCTTCATTAATGGGGGTCACTAGCAGGGTATTTCACGAACGATGGAGATCGAACCGATCCGTGACCTTCAACTAATCACTTTTAAGCTTACGGTGAATGCACAGAAACGGATCACAGATATGTGGCCCACTAATGAGCGGCTAGACAGAATTGCTCATATCTGTATACTTGAGAAAGCATTTGTTTGCACAACCCGATTCACCTTCCTTTAACATTTATACCGGAAAAAATTTAGAAGCTATCCCGCCGAACAAGAGAGTAAAAGTGCTTGTGAGAATGTATCAGAAGCTGAAGGTAAAGCTGAAGTGTAAAAACGGGATTACATGGGATTTTTAGAGCAACCCAAATCATGACAAGTTTTCAATCCATACATAGAGCAGCTTGATTTAGTATGCTAAAAAATTTGGACATAAAGTTCGAGGAGGATTTGGAACTTATGTCTTGACAGACAAAAAGTGTAACAGATACAATGAAGTACGCGTCACGAATGATGAACAAATGAGGAAAAGGGCGATGCGTGAAGTGAGGCATTAAGGGATATATACAACTGAGGGGGTCGGCCACTATACAAATAATACCGACCGAGGGGTATATCAACAGGACAATTCAACGTCGCCGACGTAACTGTGGACGTAGTGGCTGTCGTAACTGACGGCGTTCTTCCGCTAGATCGCAGTGCTTCATTACGTGGGCTGTTGCCGCATCCAGCTCGTCCTGAAAAAAAGAATCGGGTATCAGTTGAGTTGACTCCGCCAGCGGTGGCAATCTCCGGGTGGCTGCCGCAGACCGGGTTTGACGAGGACGTGTGGCAGTGGTCCCGGCCGAAGATTTCGGAGCACTGCGAGTGCGTCGAGTGGAATACGGCTGCTTTTGCAATGGTTTGACGGGTTCAGAGGTAAAACTTATGGCATCATCATCTTCGACATCATCACAGGTGGACTCAGAAACACGGAAACTCGGAGCGCGATTTTCCTTCACTTCATGCTCAGATTCACTGTCAGAATGAAGCTGTGGAAGTGGTACCGGGGATGGTAACCTCGGAGGAAGGTCAGACTTGAAGTTTCCTTGATCCTTAGACTTATTCGCTTTTCGTCTTAATCGTAGATTTCGCTGAGGCTTGGGTTGTGGGGACGTCGACCTCGTTAAGTCGCTTCTCACGACAGTTCCAGTGTCACCAGTGTTTTGGTTTACTGTATCACGCGTAGCATTAAGTAGGGGTTTCTTGAATACAACAGGCTGCTTACAGAGATGATCAGATGAAGGGATTGGCGATCCTAAGTCTAGTGTCTCTGCAGTTGGTTGTTCAGTCTGCAGGCCAACAGATGCATTCGAAAACTGCACCTGAAACGAAGATTTGTCATTAGTGATTAAATGTGTAGATATCATTAGAGCAAAGTGGTTAATTCCCATAGTTTTATGTACATCCCATACCAACTGTGCAATATTAGTACTAGGAGTATAAATCACACTGTAATCTACAAAACAACGGTATTGTTAATAGCAGAACTTTTATAAAGGCGGACACCGAAACAATACGCCACAATGGGGGTTGACCTTGTGGGCAGATTAACGTAGATGTGTATCCAGGGATGGGAGCCTAGTAAGATTATTAGCAAATCTGAAACATGGGGATATTGCCTTCGGTGAGCAGGGAAAACGAGGTTCATCTAGAAATACCCAGCTGTTGCATCCACCTATTGGTTTTTTAATAACAAAGTTTTGGTTAACCCTGGTTGTAATTTTCTACTTTCAACAGACTAAAAATCAACTATGATCATCAGCTGTGATTCACAGAGTGCGAAAGTGTGTCCTTAACATACCCGCAACTATTTCCTGTTCATTCGTCATTCGAAGGAAATGTGCCGCAAAGCATCGCTTCGGAAAAGCAATACTAAAAGGACAAGGACGGTATACTGGTGGCAGCCAGAAATAATAAAGGCCGTAATGTCTACCTGCGCGTGATGCGATTTCTCTCATTGTTAGTGCTCAGAAACAGCCTTGCCAATCGGCATGACGAATGTACCATCACTGATGAGGAAAAATCACAATATGTCGAAATCCTGGTGCCCGAGCGTTTTTACTGCCAGAAGGTTGTTTAGTAACAACGGATCGTTGATATTCTTGAGGGTTCTTTATAAATCTGAGCAGCTGGGTGCATGCATGCAACCCGGATTGGGAGCGCGCCTCAGAAGCGATCACTTCTGATTGTTTTTGAATGACATAATGGTGGTAGATTCTCTTCAGGATTTTGTTAGAAGTTACGAACAAAGCCACTGAACACTGATGAAATTCAGACAGTAATCAATAGTATGCTTTTGGAAACGCTCGAACATACTTGTAGTGATGCATCGGTCAGTTTTGGGCGCGTGGGAGTTATGGTCTGAACGGCGATATCAAGGGCATTTTCTAAAATGGTAGTCTGAATACCAGCCTCTTGATCTGGGGTAATCGGTTGAAGCAAAGTGAAGTGAATTCGCTGTTCTTCTAGCAGCTTTTCGTAATGCACCCTCAGCTCGTGGGTGATACGTTCCCTGAAGGCTTCCAGTTCATCCTGGTGACTGTTTTTCGCATCCAAAATCTCGTGATGCAAACGACCAAGTTCATCCGCTTGTGACAACTAGGAGACCAGAAGAGAAGAGGGAAGAATAAGAGAGCAACGGATGGACATAATTAATGTTCATTTGGCAACCGCTGTTCCGAATAAGTACGTCATAGCACGCGGCTTCACTGCTCCAACTATGCTCAGAACAAGATTTTCACAAAAGCAACACGAACAGGAGGAAGAGATTAGCCCAAAGTGCCGTCAAGTATTACGCGACACAATCGTAATGTCTGTCGTGAAATCAACAAATTTATCGTTTGGATTGCCGGGTAACCAACTGCCAGTGATAGGTCCACTGTATAGAATGTGACTTGATTTTTTACGAGAACTGGGAAAAGCAATTTTAGAATTACTCAAGTAGAGAGGAATAAGATGTAGGCAACAATGACACCGATCTTTCATTATTTCCAGTTTTGAGGATGATCCAAAGCATGCCGCTTATTTCCCTTTCGTATCTGGAACTTACAGGAAACATCCATCCTGGAAATACTGAAAATCAAAAAATGTGTCAGTCCAGTTTTTAAACATGAAAATATGACAGGAGAAGCTCTGCGGCATTCGAACTGGAAATACAACTGGATGATAATTTCTCTTTTCACACCGGACTCACTATCCTAACTAAAGCAGGTGAAATGGGCCGAGTGCTGCTCTCCAAAAGTAGCCAGGATATGATTAGTTCGCAGCTGATCGCTCTTGACCACACCACGGGAGCGTTTCCTGCCTATCAAAAATGTAAAAGTTTTGCATCCCGACAATGTTGTAGGATACTGTCAAACAGGGCACTTAGTAGGAGAGAGGACGCAGGTGACTAGTGCACCAAAACCTCGTAGTCATCTGCTTGACTTGATTAGAAATGTCAGCAGGCTTGCTTAACTCAATATTATCTCACTAAACACTTGCAATCAAGTCATTAAGTGGCCGTGAGTGTGCATCGTATTTGTGTTACAAAGTAACACCTTGATAACCTCTTAATCCAGCTTCGGTGCGAATCTAACCTCCCGCTAAGTAATACCTTGAGATAAAAAAAACATTGTATATGCACCTATATGCTGCCTGTACCCGCAATAAGTTTGGTAGGATCTCACAAGAGACCATCACTTGTCTCTCCAGTAACCAACAATTTCAACCAAATTTGCACAGAAAATGTGTGCGCTGCTAGAGAAACCGAAAAGGCAATATGAAAAACGTACCAGACGTTGCGTGAGCTCATCTTTCTCACTCTTCATCTGCTGATAGGCCACTTCGGTGCGCGTCAGAGCATCGTGCTTTTTGGCAAACTGCTCCTCAAGCTCGTAAACTTGTCTCTGTAGCTGTTCCATAGTCTCCATTTGTTGTAATCGTGATTCATGCTCGAGGAAAGATTGCAGTCCCTGACTCAACTATCAGGCGGGAAAACACGGAATAGCTATGAATAGTGAGATAAAACACTCTATAGACAACAACAGTGAGTCATACTGTGTGAATTAAACAGATAGCAGGTAGTAGGGCATCAAACTTCACCATCGCTTCCACAACCATCTTAAGACCGGAAAGGAAGACAGACTCTATTTCAAGGATGTAACACACCTCCCATAAGGTTGTTGAATACTGTTCGAAACATCGTAAACGAGAAGTTCAGACTTCAGGTGAGTTTTCCGTGAAAACCACATTGGTGTGCAAATGAGTGCATTTGTAGAGTTTCTATTCAACTTACTCGTTGACGTTAGCCGAGAGATAGGTGGAAAACGTCAGCTCAGTATCAGTAACACCGAACTATAGCGACCAGCTAAACTTTCATGCAGCAAAGACGTCCAGCTTGTCGCCATAAAAGCAGAGATCAAATTACTAAACGAGGCCAGCTAATGAAACTCGCAAAATACTGCTTGCAATAAGGCGGATAATAACATCATCGACAGCACGACATCAGTGTTCAACACTGATGCTTCGCTGCCACAAGGCGGATAATAACGACGTGGAAGTATCATAATCCTGCATCCGGCGAGGGTTTCGTGCAGCAAATAAGAGATTAGAGCACAGTGGCAAAAATGAAGCGGATAAAAAGCTAACTGGATAGTAACACCCAAACATTATGGCTTACAATTCCACATATTCGATCAAAATTTTGTGTAGGTCGATATCGAAGGCAACAGATTTTTACAGAATCGGCAGATAGAGAATTGTTAATAAATACAAACCGTGCAGCCATTCAACAATGCTTAGATCATAAGAAAGAGACACTACTTCGAATGCCTCCGAGACTTCGATTAAGCGATCCCTTCCTTGGCTCTTTCTGGACGATACCAGCGCTATTCGCAATAGCAGCACTACATGAACCATGAAATCGGAACAGTTGGAACAAAACGCATTGCCTTGTTTGGTTTGCCAAAAATGTCACAGCAAGTCCCTCCAGAAGATACTCCTCCGAGTAGTTCAGTCCTTTCGATAGTGCAAGAGAGCGTTATCGAAAAGTCAGAATTTAGTGTTCAACCCTGTGAAAAACAGACGCCCCCCCCCCCCAAGGGGGGGG